CCCCATCACCACCTAGTCTTCGCAGATTCATCAGCTTCACCAGTGTCTGGACTCCATAGGGGGATTTATCTCGCAACTGCTCAGACGCCCCTCGATCCCAAAACCTCCCTGTTGAGTGCCAAAGTGCCAAATACGTCCTGTAAAGACCTGATCATCACATATCATATGTCATAATAAACTGTTATCCTTACTTCATTCTCCTGATTGAAATTTAACTAACATGTTATGTCTTGTTTGTTTAATCCGTACAAGAATCAAAGTGTAAAGCGACAATTAGCCGTTTTACAGGAGTTATGTTCAGGAGTATTTCTAGGTCCAGAGCAGTTGCCAGGCAACCAGTGGAGAATCCAGGAATTTACTGTTGTTTTACACTTTGCTTTTTGCACAGAATAAACAAACAACATAAAACTAACCGGTTCCTGCTGTATCTTCATATTTGATGGACAGACATCGAAGTGGTATTAATCTTCTGATCTACCTCTCTGCCTCCTCAAAAAAAAAATTCACTTTTGCTTGAAACGTCAAGGATAAACTTTAGGAATTAGGAAAACCATTGTAGCTGAAGAGAGCTTTTTCTTTAGCTGAAAGGTGTAATATTTGAACTTGAATCTGGATTTGAGAGCTCTTGCATCTAAACGCGGCAAAGCAAAAATATCCAGACTAAATTGTGACATTTCACACAGCAGTAAATATTTGTCTTTTCAAAAAGACAATTGAGAAATACAACTTGAGCAGCTGTGCATCGGGATGAAAAATCCATAACAGAAAACTTCATTGCTTCTGTTTGATAAAACTCATCATCAACATGCTTCAGAAAGCTTTCAGATGCCAAATTTGTATCAGAGCGTGTTCAGACAGAGAGAAATAAGAACATGAAGGTATGTTTCTTCATTACTGAAATGTTAATTTGACTTGTTTTTGCCTAATTAACGCCAATGTCTTCCAAGAACAAAACAGCCCCACAAATATTAATTAGGACCTCAATATTCATGTTGGCGGAGATGGTTGTGAGGTCTGTAATTAACGAGCTTTTAATTGTTTGATCGTCTCCTTAATTAAAGGCTTGCTATAATTTGAAGGTTTGTTTACTTTTCACAAAACAGGAAATCTTATTGATATTCTCTTTTACCCAGAATTTACCCAAGGAAAACTAAGACGGAAAAATAAGGCTTTTAAAAGTTAGCCAAACATTTCTGAGAGGTGCAGTGCATCTTTTTACTTTTCAAATGTAAAGTTTTCAATAAAAATAAATAAATCTCAGAACTACTTTTGACGGAGGCTGGAGAGTTTTGCTTGGCTTCACTCTTAGATCTCAGTACTCGTGTTGCTGTCTTCCATCTGCCATTCGAATGCTTCAACCTTTGTGAAATCTCTTTTTGTGGAGCTTCAAACTGTGGTTTGATGGCACCTTTGATGGACAAAATGAAAGGAGTATAGATCAACAGCCACACATGCCTTTGACATATTATACTGCAGGCCTGCTCAGCTCAGTGGCACGGTCTGGATTTTATTCCGATTTTATAAGTACAAGAGTGAAAAAAAAAGCTCAAAATTTCAAATAGACCTAAAATAAACAACAGAACCTCCCTCTTAATAGAGCTCCAATACAACCCAGTTCTATTGCTGAGTCCAGTGACAGTAATTTATGTTTTTTGTATGATATTTTAGTATGTGTAAGCGTTTGTGTAGGAGTTTGTCAGTGTGAAAAACTTTTATTCATTAACTGAATTGGCAGCTTTTTCAAAAACTTTTTTTTAAAAGTAGTTCCTCCCAGCACCAAAACAATGCAGGGGTCAATACAAAGATCAATGCTTCATAGGACTATTTCTGTGCTGGGACTTTTTCACTTCTCTTTATTCCATGACAACCCATATGGACGTAGTTACACAGATAAAAGTGGAAGAAAACAGATAATTTTTTCAACTGCTGGCAAAATCATTTAAAGCCACAGATGTTTTTAAATACATTGTATTAAACTTAATTGTATTCATCAGCCCTTGTTACTTCTGGTGAAGTCATGTTTAAAGCTATAACATACTGAACTGACATCATAAATATACACTGTAATAAAAAGTTATAGGCTGCAATCATCACCTCGGTACAGGTTTATTACTAAAATGTCTCTAACACACTGTAATTTGGAAATGGAAAGATATTTTAGAGGCCTACAGGTTATTCAGAAGTAAGAGTCTGTTTTCATTAGCACCTTTAAGAATTATTGTTTTTTCAGCAGTGGTTTGATCCAGGTGAAACGTTGTTTCCTTGAGTTTTTAAGCTGAAACAGAAAGTATGTCTGCATAGGAAGGGAAAAAATATTTGAGTTACATTACACAAATATGAAAATGCAACTTAAAGCCAAATCCAGTAATGACTGAAACAGAAAGAAGTAAGATTGTGACAGATAATAAAAACAGTAACTGAAACAAACATAATATTCTGTGGATTTTATAATTCTAAAATATGTGTTAATGCAGCAGATAATGTTTTTTATAGGTAATTTCACTTTAAAAGCAACCTTGCCACCTCCGGGTGCGACCTTGACCTTGTGTCATGTATTGTCTGGTGTTAAGCACCGTTCTCCTTTCAGCTCAGAGATGTTCAACTGACACTGTTTGTGTCACATAGTGAGACAGCCGCTGGTGACTACTGTCTTCACATACTGCTGGAGGGACGCCTCCATTGACTGTTTACTGCCCGTAGCTTATTAGAGGGGGTCTGATGACCTCGCCCACCCAGGAGGGAAAGACAGAGAGGAGATTAGGTGTTTCTGTTTCTTGAAAGTCCTGTTACTGAGCTAAAAATTAAAATAGGAAACTATATAAACTTTATATATTATTATATATTGTAAACTTTTTAGAAACTCTTTCTTCATCTTCATCCATCTTTTAGCATTGTTTCTACATGTGATACTAGAACCACTCAATGACTGGAAGTAACTAAACACAAATTAGTCAGCACATTAATAACAAATAGCTGTCACTGAGTTGAGGTCAGTGGTTGTGTACACTGTAAGCACTGGTTGCTTTAGACCTTTTCATTTTCAGTGTTACTTCCATTATAACATTAAAGTTGAAACAGCTGAAATCATATTTATTCAACTCTTTTGCAGTCAAACTAACATCTGCGTTTTTTTAAATATCTAATATCAGTTTATTATTATTATTATTAAAATGAAGAAAGGTCTTTGGGGAAATGTCAGCAATGTTACTGCCAGCTGGAGGGGCTCCGGTACCGAACTCCAGCAGCGGAACAAGAGAAAAAGTGAACAAACTTATGCTGTTGCTAACAAATAATGGGCAGACTGTGTTGTTAGTATTGACGAGTAAGCACCACACCTACTTCACAGGTAATATGACATGCTGTTTAATGTGCTGAAGCTAATTAGCTATCTAGCCTAAAACTGATGTTTGCAGTGCACTTTGCCCCCTGGTGAATGTTTGTTTGGTGGCTTGTAACATTATCATTAATGTGGAGTCATGTTTTCTGGACATTTGTTAATTAGCTTTGGTTCTTGTCTTTACCAACTTTTGAGGGAAATATCTCATTGTTTAGCTGCTTAAGTGAATCAAAAGAGTAAAGTTGTGCTTCAATGGCGACGGGGAACTACAGATAATTTTTTATAGGTTCATACATTGTTATAAAGAAAATCAATTATAGGCACTTTAAGGATAAACATCATGTAACTGTAAAACAAAGCTAACATGAAATCCCTTTGTTTGTGTTCATTTATAGTATCAGTGACACAAAATGAGGCCAAACAAGACACATCACCTGCTACACTCATACCTCAGGAGAAACACTTTTGACACCAAACAAGGGGGCTTGAAGGTTTAACTGAAGAAAATGAAGGAATTAGAAAGGATGCAATATGATCTCTGAACTATTTATTATAACAATTTATTATAACAAGCCCTCAAGTTGTAGTTCTTTATCTCTTAATATAATAACAGCAAATTAATGAGAACATGGTAATAACAACATCACACCAAACGTGTTGTTAGTGTCAGTATTTCTCTAAATGACGACCACATTTCCCACACAAACTTTCACTTTCTGTCAAAAACACTTTGCTGTTTGTCAATTTGTGCTGAAAGAATATTTCCCTCTTACTGTTTTTTGTCAGAAAGCGAGCACCCTGTACAGTACCTAAGGGTCAGGACCTCCCCAAGGGGTATTAAGTCTACCCCTGAAGTACGCTGAAGAGTTTATTACATCTTGTACATGATCCAATAAATGCTCACTCTGACAGTTTTAGGGTTAACTTTATCCATCACCAAAAGGGTGTTTTGATCCAGGGTTAGAGTAATCTTTTTATATTACTGTAAAAAAAAAATGAGCTTGATTATAACAGTTCACAATCATAACATAAACCCAACAGTAATATATTAACAACATTGAGTCAAAACCCAGATTGGTTTAATTTTGACTCAGTGACTTTTAACTAACTGTCCTTTTGCTGCCCAGAAAACTGACGTGACAGGACAGAGAGCCACTTATGAAACAGAGAGAGATAAAAAGACAGAAGGTTGCAAGAGAAGAAGCAAGCAGAGCCAGAAACAGGAGAGAAACAGAGACAGTAAGCGAGAGTGTGAGAGGACGAGAGAGGGGAAGAGATAAAAAAGATACGAACAGAGGAATAAAAGGAAAGCGAGGAGCTTACGCAGTGAAAAGAGCACATTAGAGGCGACCTGCTGCGACAGTAGTGTGGGGAACGGTGAATAACTGCCTCCATTTAGACCAGTGTCCTAGTAGTGTGCAACTATAGGGGCCTCATATGGACACACACACTCAAAAACACCCAAAATACATAAATAAAGCAAAATAAACTCATTGAAAAGCATGTCTTCTTGCACCAAATTGATACCTGACACACACACACACACACAAATGCTCACACA